GCCTACTGCTGCTCTTGGGTATGTAATGCAACACTTGAACTGGTATAAATTATGCAATTGTTTACTTCAATTTGATATCTACACTTTTTTACTATTATTGCTTGGGATGAACAGTCTCCAGTTTGAATTAGAAGGGACTGAAATATTGCTATGCCATTATTTCTCTTTATAAAGAAAGGGTAAGTGGTAGATTTGATTGTACTGGTAGATAATGGTAGATTAGATGGTAAAAGCTAAACAGTATTTAAGTAAGATATTTTAATATGAACTGATTTCTACTGATTATATGAACACTAGCAGCATCACATAAAAATGTGATTTTGTAATCACTTTTTAATGTATGCAGGATATTTTAAAGAGATGCAGGATTTTGTTCAGGACTTATTTTTCTGAAAGATCTATATTTTATATAGTATTACCTTTTAACTTAAGCAGTGAGGTGAAGCAAAGTGTCTATGACCTTCACAGAATGAAAGGCCTTTCTGGTGGGCAAGTTCTAAAATGGCATGAATTGTTCATGCAGCTATACTAAGCGGAATAGTGAAGGAGAATATATTTGTCATCTGTGATTCAGCTAAGGCTGATAAGGTGAACAGTTCCAGATACTGATAAGGTTTTCTGCCCTATCTGCTTGAGTGTTTTGTTGTTATATGGAATGTTTTGACAGTACTGGATTTGGAAGAAACTGCAGGTACTGTTAGACTGGCAAAAGTAGGAGGCAATGGTGAGGTTGTTCAGTTGGTGAAGTCTTTGTAAAGCCTGAAATGATGTAAACAGTACCTATACAGTTCAGGTTGTTATGATGTTGATTGTGAATAGATTTACACTGAAGAAAAATGTGTACAAATAGTCAAATCTCTAGATAGTACACGCAGGATCATACACACATCAAAGCTGTAAAAATACGGACCAGGTTTCTGGTTCTTTTTCTAGATACACCACAGAGCAAGCAGAGGAGCTGGCTGATGTCTTTGGAGGTGATGCAGAGGTGATGTGTGGGCAGACCCCTTTCTTGGTGTCTACTTGGCAGTCAGTCTTACTGCCATACGAAGACTGTCATCCTCTTCCAGCTGCTTTTGACACTTAGATTAATGCCTGTGTCTCATTTACACAGGCAATGAATCCTTCACAAGTTGTATTTATTACATCTTGTGACTTTCCACACATACGCGTAGCTGAGATATAGCTGTATATCACATGCATGCATGTAGAGATTCCCCTAGCCATTCTTTTCATCAAATGAAGCATTATTTCTTTATAACAAATGTATTATTTTCTGTGGGCATTGTTGAGGAACATTTGATCAGTTGGATCATATAGTAAGTTGATGAGATAGTTACAGTTTTCTGGATAGTTTAAGATATCACTTAATCATTTTAAATTAATATGCTTCTTTAACACTTGACACCAATCCTTGATATTAAAAAGTTGAAATTAAATTGAAACTGAAAAAATAAATGTTGTCATTTGCATCAATGATAATTATGTATACTTCTTTTCAGGGAAGTGATCGGCAATCTAAATCTACCACTGGATCCAGTGACCCAGGAGAAAACAGTTCCTCACCTCAGCTTCCCAAAGGGAAAGACAAAAAAAGCCATAATCCAGAGGATTCTGTGTCCAGACAACACTTTTCTAACAACTCTACAAAAGTAAAATGGACAGTAACAGCTTCCACAGGAGTCCTTCAAGATAACGGTCAGTACTGAGATAAACACTACTGTACGTATTGGCTTTTGCTCTTCAGTTAAAATTCAGTGAAATAGTGGAATAATACACTTGTATAGTTCTTTAATTGCCTGTTTACGCTGGCTAACTGAATTTACAAAGGTTCTTTCTGCTTTAGGAAATGTACCTGTGCATAACTGCTACTTTCCTGGCTTTGCATACCACAGGAGGCTGTATATAATTTTTAGTATACCTTGGAAGTTAAACTAATATGATCCTATCTTTATGCTTTTGATAAAAGCATAATAGAAAACATATTTTGACCATTTTCCCACAGTTCTGCCCTACAAAAAATGTGAAGAAAAGGAGCTGGTCTGCTCAAAGGGAAAATTGTCATGTATTTCACCATTAACATTAAGCACTAAAATGCACCTATAAGATTGTTAGTAGTGTTAACACCACTCAATTACTTTAAAATGGAGTGCTTTAATGTACTCAGTATACATTTCCCTAGGATGCGATCATGCCTTTCAGAGACATAGGAAATGTTGAGATTTATAACTACTATTGTTTAAGTTTACCCGTATCTTTGAGAATATCTGGAGACAGCATACCTAAAATATTTTTAAAAATTACTGCTGTAATAGTAGTTCTCACAGCTGGAACTATTCTTGAGCCATATACTAATTGTAGGTTGTATGTAATTCGGATAATATAACTTTTCTAGGTTTTATGCATGCAGACGGATTCTATATTTTACTTGTTTTCTATTGAATCTTATGAGTGTAAAAGAGGAGTTAATATAATGTGCCATGTTTGGTAACCAAAGTCTGTCGCTGTATGTTCCTTCTTATTGTTCTTTCCCATGTAAATGAACAGCAGGCTTCTCCCTGGAGAAGCAAAGCAGTAGGAAATAAACATCTCCATGTGGGATGTGAAGGATTCTTAAATTGCTCCTCTGCTTGTTTTGCCCTTATTTGTCTGCCTGTGAGAGACTGCAGCACTTTCAGGCAAAATCTGGGGAAAGAGGACAACTCTTGACAACTCAGAGCAAAGGTCTTTTCACTTGGGTCAGATCCCATGTGGGAGCTCCACTGTAGTCAGAACTCAGGTAGCTTGTAGTGAAGTAGTTCAAAGAAAATCTACTATATTGACCCTGAAGAGACACCTACACAGTTGTTGTCTTCCAAGTGTTTATTCTGGTCACACAAGAAGATGTAGTGACCTGAAGCATAGGCCAGGCAGGCTTTAGGAGCTGTGAGTTCTTACTGTGGAGTGCTGCAACTTCAGTATCATTCTGCCCAGCCAACCCTCTGTGTCAAAGACTGCCCCGATAGAAAGCCAGTTGGACTGTAAAAATAGAGTGTTTCAGAGGTCAGCATTACACCTTATTTCTGTCCTTTATTATTTGAAGACACTGAACTGCTTTGTGATTTGTGATGATGTTAAATATGACAAAGGCATATTATTTTGTGACTTGATAGCCTGTTTTGCTATCAAGTTTTCTTTATTCCTCATTAGCTGAATATTTTTCACCTGTGGGACTATGTGTTGAGTTAAATATAGCACAGGAGCTTGATTAAGTACTTCCACAAAATTATTTATCTGCAGGTGGGAAGTGGAAGTTGTTAGCTGGTTGATGTACATTTTGAAACAGAGGTAGGTGGTAGTCTCCTTCAAAAGCTTTCCCTAGAGAGCCTCATCAGTCAGATCAGCTTTATGATCCCACTGACTACAACTCTGTCAGTGGGGGATGTGAGAAACAAGTAGATACATCAAAATACGAAAAGCCCGAAACACTCTGCCATCATCAGCATTGGCACTGTTTTTTGGCGCTTCACAGGAGAGTCACCTGGCTCAGTTTTGACCTTTGCGCCCCTTTCTCTACCAGAAAAAAAAGTTCTCAGTGGGGAAGTCTCATTACCATGCTTCCTTGCTAATGAAAGAAACAAACTAGTTTGCCTCTTTCAAGCAGACCAGGTTGTGGCTGGCCTCTGTGCCTGCATCTTTTGACATACTAAGGTGACCTTTATCATACCAGTGAAGCAGGAAAGAAATGTGAGAGACCTGCAAACACTGAAAATATTTTCATACTCACATGAGCTAACATATCTGTATCCTACAGCTTGTTGTTGATGGCTCAGTAGGCTGCTTGAGTTTAACCTGCCTGCCCATCTCATGCCATTCAGTACATCTGAATATATTTACCACCTTCTTGAAATACGAATCATAGAATTATGTAATTTTCAGTTTCATTTTAGAGTGAGGCGTCTTATTCTGAAATGGAGATGTATTTTTTGATGGAGAGCTAGAAGCCAACTCCACTTACACAGTAAAAATGATTGCTTCCAAGTATTGTTTGGGTCAGTGTAGCTCCACTGTCTACTCTGAAGACTCATTGCATTTCCTCAGTTGGCTTTGCAGGTTTATTCAAAAAAACACCTTCAAATTCAAAAGCTTTGGATTGGGTAAAGGAAACACTTAACACCATCTTGCATCTTTTTTATAAATTTTTATTTAATTTTTTCCTGAGGGACAGTGAAAAAGACTCTTGGCATTTTAGTTGGCTGCATTTGGCTGTGACTGATGTGGGATTAATTTATTTTAATTGGACACCAATAAACCACACAGTGAGTTTACACATGCACATTTTTGAGTGTACAGAAATAGCTATAAAGAAAATATTCATAGTAGAAAATGTATCCCATATTCTTCACTGTCCTTTTCCCTGCCAATTTAGCAGTTACGTCGAATCTTCTCTCTTCTAAGTGCCAGACTGAAAGTGATTTTTTCCTGGGACTTAACATCTGAAGAATTATGCTCATATTGTATTTAAAGCTTAACCTAATCTTCCAGTAGTGTTTAGTTGGGCTAACCATGGATTTACTTTGAATTTTTTCTTCTAACACACTAAGAATTTCACCAGCATGCCATTCATACTACAACTGATCCATGTTATAATCCTCTCAAATCAAGATGATTAAAGAGTTTCTTAAGTGTTGAAAACTCTTTGTGCAAGACTTAAATTCACCACTGCTAGAGCAAATCCAGTAGACTATGAGCTGGTGGTTTGGTTTTTGTAACGTATAAGGCATGAATAATCATAAAATTATAAGGCATAATGTTATGACTGGACTCTCATTGCACTGGTAGAACCTAATTAATATTGAATATATTATATGTAACAGTAATTGCAACTGGAAATGTGAGAGTTAGAGCTTAGACTAATGCAGCTGGTTTGGCATTATTTGGGCTTATGAAAGTGACACCAAAGGCACATTTAATTATCAGCATCTTGGTTTAAAGTTTTGCAAAATACAAAACCCAAACCTAATTATTTTTTCATTTGCACCCTGTTCTGTACAGGGTATACTGTAGGAAGCTGAACAGGAAAGCAAATTCAGACATGTTGTAGAAAATTCTTGTAAGGAAGCACCCTCACTTTAAAGCCTATTCCATTCAAGTACAGTCATTTAATTGTGGTCTCATAGCTTGCAAAATTACCCCCTACTCCCCTCTAAACTATAAAACAAGTCCTAAAGATAATAGAATGTGATGCTTGAGTTGTCACTAAGATTTGGAAAAGTGCTATACTGGAGATGAGCTGATCCACTCCACAGTTTTTCAGGTCTAGTTTTGAGTATTAAAAGGACTTAGAAGTTAGCAATCATTTCAGTTTCCTGGTTTTGCTATTGGCTAGAAGAAGGAAGGAAAAGGACAACCCTTAATTAATGGAAAAGCTGTACAGACCATCAGGTATGGGAGCCACTCCTGCTATCATTCTCTGAATTGCTTTCAATAAAATTACAAACTTGCCAAAGAGTATAAACCTGGACAGCTGAATATCAGCTGTGCATTGTGAGCTAAAACTGTTGTTGTCCATGCTTTC